ACGTGTCCTCTACTACCCCAGAGAATATGGGTAAACCACTGTCAGCAGAGGCAGGAGGTACAAAAGGGATGGATGCTCATACACCGACCAAAGTTCACATGCACTCTTCCTCCCGTCAAAGACACTTGCAATTTCATGAATTTATGTTTTCCATCTTTCTTTCATGTGGTCCCAGAACAAGCCTTCTGCTGGTTTTCCACAGAAGCAGAATCTGGGCTCCCTCTATATGTTCACCGCCAAGTGTATGGATGAGCAAGTGGGTCACAGTCTGCAGTCACCTGAAATAAACCCAGAGCTGATCACATTGACTACCTTGCAAGCTAAAGAAACAGTACTGAATGCCAGCGTGGTGAGCTCCTGGGCTTTGCTGGCTCCATGTTCTGGGGGCTCTGGAAAATCCCAGACCTGAACGCAGCTCTCTGGCAGGCTGCGCTCTGCGGAGATGAGCACAGCCCGCAGGGATTTTTATGGCTGCTCGGGAGCCTTTCTGGAAGGAAAAAGCTGTCTGCTCGGGAGATCGGACAGTCCAACCCAGCTCTGAGCAGGGCAGCGTCCAGTCGGGTTTTGAGTATCTCCAGGGATGGAGACTGCATAACCTCTCTGGGCAACCTGCCACCCTCACAGTGAAGTTTTTTCTTATGTAATTTCTTGTTTATGCCCATTGCCTCTATTTCTTCCACTGGGCATCACTGAGAGGAGTCTGGCCCCACCATATTTACCCTCCCTGGCCCCATCAGGAATTCGTACACATGGATGAGAACCCTTCAAGCCTTCTCCAGACGGACCCGCCCCAGCTCTCCCAGCCTCTCCCTGGCCCCCCCCAGCCTCTCCCTGCAGTGACGGCTCCCACTGGTGAAGGGCTGTGTGCTTCACCCTTCCTGCCGCTGCCCTCCCTGCATCAAAGACGTGAAGCCACTTAGGCGATTTTCTTGGACGATGAATGGAGGAATTCAGTCTACGCTATGAGAACACCGACTTCACGGAGGCGGCTGGACTGCTGTTAGCAGAGCCACTTCACAAGGAATGCATGAAAGGGGAAGTTCACGGCATGTGCTTTGCATGGACGTTCTTGGAAGTTCATTTGTTTTCACATGCTGTTGTCCCACGGGCTGTTCAGAGCTAGGACAGAGAGCCCGGCTTTCTTTATAGTAAACAGAGGAGATGATTCAAAATGTGTTGTAAAACAGAAATTACTCTGAAGATCAAACAAGCAATGATATTTTAGAGAGTTAAGATGGGGAACCTGAGCAAGATTTTATACCAGCTTTCAAAATAAAAGACAAAACCAAACTCCATTGTCAGGCATTTAGCCCACAAGTTTATAACAGGTATTGCATCAACAGCTAATAAGATCCTATCTCAAAATACTTCTGAGATAACAAAAGTTAGACTTTGAAGCTGCTGAATATCCTGGAAACAAGTTGCAAGGAAACACAAATCCACAACATTTTTTTTTCAATTATTGTCAGGATTGCCAATTATTTCTATTGTACAGACAAACTGAGGTATCTGCTTGCTCCTGTTGTACAACAGTTCTGCCAGGGTACTGTTCTTCATGAGTCTTGGAGGCTTTAACCAGCAAGAGGGTTCCCTTTCACTGGGTCTTAGTAAATTCCTTGGAGAAAACCTTTCAGAACATAGTTGATATTTTCACTTAGCTGCTGTATTGGGCTAGGATGCAAATGGCAGCAGCAATGGGGGGTGGGGTGGGGGCGTTTTGTTTTACACTCCTATCTCCAGTTTCCTATTTTCTCTTGTAAACGAACAGGGAAAAAAAAGGAAAAAAATGGTAGCGACAGGAGGATACAGCCCTCTACTGGCCCCTGCCACCACTGCTCACAAAGCGGGGGCCCCCACCAGCTGCTTGGTGACTTTGCAGAGCACAGTTATTCTGCTACTGTCTGTGGTCTGGTATTGGTTACTAAAAAAGGAGCCCCAAAATACCTTATTTAAATTTGGCTACGTTTCAAAAACTTGACAATTCCTGGAATTTCCATTTAAGTTTCAAGGAGTGGTGCTGGAAAAATGTTATTACAGATGCATATTCCATTTCCTTTCCAGAGAAAATCAAGTAAGTGCTGGAACTACTAAAAAGAGACATTTTTCTTCTAGCAAAAGCTTAGGCCCTGTACCATTGGATCAATCTAACTTCATGCAAATAAGACACAAACACCTACAGAAATCTTGCAGATCAAAGTAGAGCATTTTCCCACCAGTGTTTTGTGTAATCGGAGAGGAATGGGGAAGTTGTTACTAGTCGACCGCTAAAATTTTCCATAGTAAAAGTTATTAATGTATCAGTTTTATCATACACGTGTGTGTAAGAACAAACCAATACCCAGTAACAGGGTAGATCTGGTGACAGGTAAAAGGACCTGCGGTAAGAGGATGAGGAAGGAGTCACCAAGAGGGGAGTTTTTTCTTTGTTCCTTCCCAGCAGCTTTAAATTTCCTGCACACTTGGACTTTGCCCAGAACAAACTATTTCATTGCTGTAAGACTGAGCGGGAGTTTTATGGTGTGAAATACATACATAATATTGCACTGTTGTAACAGAAAATAAGGTTGGCTAGAAAGCGCTATTGATTTTACGTTAAAGTCAG